TATTGTACTTTTTTCAATCTATTTGTCTTCGCAAGTAGTAACACTTAACAGACCGTATCAACAGGATATCCTTATGAACACGGAAAACTTTTAACGATCCATAGCTAGAGGGTAAACATTCAAAACATAAAATGTTGCAATAACACATCAGATTTTCTTTGACAGGATACTAAGTTTCCGGGGTTAAAACCGAATATGTATCTATATCAATAAACAATAGAAAAACAACTACTAAAATAATCAGAATAATGTACATCGGTCACTGGACCAGTCATACACATTATACATCCGTCAGGGTGTGTACATCGGTCACTGGACCAGTCATACACATTATACATCCGTCAGGGTGTGTACATCGGTCACTGGACCAGTCATACACATTATACATCCGTCAGGGTGTGTACATCGGTCACTGGACCAGTCATACACATTATACATCCGTCAGGGTGTGTACATCGGTCACTGGACCAGTCATACACATTATACATCCGTCAGGGTGTGTACATCGGTCACTGGACCAGTCATACACATTATACATCCGTCAGGGTGTGTACATCGGTCACTGGACCAGTCATACACATTATACATCCGTCAGGGTGTGTACATCGGTCACTGGACCAGTCATACACATTATACATCCGTCAGGGTGTGTACATCGGTCACTGGACCAGTCATACACATTATACATCCGTCAGGGTGTGTACATCGGTCACTGGACCAGTCATACACATTATACATCCGTCAGGGTGTGTACATCGGTCACTGGACCAGTCATACACATTATACATCCGTCAGGGTGTGTACATCGGTCACTGGACCAGTCATACACATTATACATCCGTCAGGGTGTGTACATCGGTCACTGGACCAGTCATACACATTATACATCCGTCAGGGTGTGTACATCGGTCACTGGACCAGTCATACACATTATACATCCGTCAGGGTGTGTACATCGGTCACTGGACCAGTCATACACATTATACATCCGTCAGGGTGTGTACATCGGTCACTGGACCAGTCATACACATTATACATCCGTCAGGGTGTGTACATCGGTCACTGGACCAGTCATACACATTATACATCCGTCAGGGTGTGTACATCGGTCACTGGACCAGTCATACACATTATACATCCGTCAGGGTGTGTACATCGGTCACTGGACCAGTCATACACATTATACATCCGTCAGGGTGTGTACATCACTACAACTCTGGTGTGTACATCACTACATCCGTCAGGGTGTGTACATCGGTCACTGGACCAGTCATACACATTATACATCCGTCAGGGTGTGTACATCACTACAACTCTGGTGTGTACACCATTATACATCCGTCAGGGTGTGTACATCACTACATCCGTCAGGGTGTGTACATCACTACAACTCTGGTGTATACATCACTACATCCGTCAGGGTGTGTACATCACTACAACTCTGGTATGTACACCATTATACATCCGTCAGGGTGTGAACATCACTACAACTCTGGTATGTACACCATTATACATATGTGCATGTGTACACCATTATATATATGTGCACGTCACCATTATACATATGTGCACGTGTGTACATCACTACAACTCTGGTATGTACACCATTATACATATGTGCACGTGTGTACACCATTATACATATGTGCACGTGTGTACATCACTACAACTCTGGTGTGTACACCATATAAATATATGCTTGTGTGTACATCATTATACATATGTACACGTGTGTACATCACTACAACTCTGGTGTGTACACCATTATACATCCGTCAGGGTGTGTACATCACTACAACTCTGGTGCGTACATCATTATACATCTGTCAGGGTGTGTACATCACTACAACTCTGGTATGTACACAATTTATACATCCGTCAGGGTGTGTACATCACTACAACTCTGGTATGTACACCATTATACATCCGTCAGGGTGTGAACATCACTACAACTCTGGTATGTACACCATTATACATCCGTCAAGGTGTGTACATCACTACAACTCTGGTATGTACACCATTATACATCCGTCAGGGTGTGTACATCACTGCAACTCTGGTGTGTACACCATTATACATCCGTAAGGGTGTGTACATCACTACAACTCTGGTATATACACCATTATACATCCGTCAGGGTTGTACATCACTACAACTCTGGTATGTACACCATTATACATATGTGCACGTGTGTACAACATTATACATATGTGCACGTGAGTACACCATTATACATATCCGACGTGTGTACATCACTACAACTCTGGTATGTACACCATTATACATATGTGCACGTGTGTACACCATTATACATATGTGCACGTGTGTACATCACTACAACTCTGGTGTGTACACCATATAAATATATGCTTGTGTGTACATCATTATACATATGTACACGTGTGTACATCACTACAACTCTGGTGCGTACACCATTATACATCCGTCAGGGTGTGTACATCACTACAACTCTGGTGCGTACATCATTATACATCTGTCAGGGTGTGTACATCACTACAACTCTGGTATGTACACAATTTATACATCCGTCAGGGTGTGTACATCACTACAACTCTGGTATGTACACCATTATACATCCGTCAGGGTGTGTACATCACTACAACTCTGGTATGTACACCATTATACATCCGTCAGGGTGTGTACATCACTGCAACTCTGGTGTGTACACCATTATACATCCGTAAGGGTGTGTACATCACTACAACTCTGGTATATACACCATTATACATCCGTCAGGGTTGTACATCACTACAACTCTGGTTTGTACACCATTATACATATGTGCACGTGTGTACAACATTATACATATGTGCACGTGAGTACACCATTATACATATCCGACGTGTGTATATCACTACAACTCTGGTGTGTACACCATTATACATATGTGCTTGTGTGTACATCATTATACATATAAACACGTGTGTACATCACTACAACTCTGGTGTGTACACCATTATACATATGTGCTTGTGTGTACATCATTATACATATAAACACGTGTGTACATCACTACAACTCTGGTGTGTACACCATTATACATATTTGCACGTGTGTACACCATTATACATATGTCCGGGTGTGTACACCATTATACATATGTGGACATGTGTACACCATTATACACATGTGTATGTGTACATTACTACATCACCATACACCTATCAAGGTGTAGATATAGATCACCATGCACCTGTCCAGATGTAGGTATAGATCTCCGTACACCTGTCCAGATGTAGGTATATATCACCAAACACCTGTCCAGATGTAGATATAGATCACCATACACCTGTCCAGATGTAGATATAGATCACCATACACCTGTCCAGATGTAGGTATAGATCACCATACACCTGTCCAGGTGGTCCAGGTGTAGGTATAGATCACCATACACCTGTCCTGGTGTAGGTATAGATCACCATACACCTGTCCAGATGTAGATATAGATCACCATACACCTGTCCAGATGTAGATATAGATCACCATACACCTGTCCAGATGTAGATATAGATCACCATACACCTGTCCAGATGTAGGTATAGATCACCATACACCTGTCCAGATGTAGGTATAGATCACCATACACCTGTCCAGATGTAGATATAGATCACCATACACCTGTCCAGATGTAGATATAGATCACCATACACCTGTCCAGATGTAGATATAGATCACCATACACCTGTCCAGATGTAGATATAGATTCATAAATAAATTGAATGTGGAGAAACAGGTCGTTCAGATGGTACGTGGAACTGGGACATTAACCTAAGTTCAGATTTCTTCTTTGTTTTAACTTCAGTAATTGATCAGCAAATATTAATCGGAAGAAAAACAAAAATATATCATCAAGGTAGAGTTTAGAGATGGAAGGGTGTTGCTTCTTCTGTAATGAAGATGGAAGCAGGAAGGAACTTAGCGTATCCAGCACTGGTAGGATACAAACTGTCATTGAATCAAGTAAACGGAGATGTGATTTTCTCCATGATGATCTTGAAACTAGACTTTCCTTAGACAAACATTAAAAGATCCTTTGTCGTAGAGGCTGTGTATCTACATATACATCCAAAACTCGCATTAAGGGGCAGCTCAGCTCATCTTAATGTTCCGAAGAGACATCTGCAGTAAAACGTCTCTCCGGATTGACAACCTTCAACTTCAGGCAACATTGCCTTTTCTGTGGCGAGGAATGCTTCGACATTGATCCCAATCATCAAGATCGGCGGAGAAGGCTTGGTCTTTGTAGGACAGCAGACCGTGGTGAGGGGACGAAGAATTATAAGGAAACCCTACTAGATATCTGAAGAGCTCGTAAGAACAACTGGGACGCGAAGTAGATATATATTTGGCTGGGGCAGTGAGTGATCTGCATGCAGTCGATTGTAGATACTACACAGACTGTTACAAGTTTTGTTCATGTCGGTCAGTGAAGTCAGCTTCAGCAGCATCTTGTAGCAGTCAAGAGCTGGTGGATGTGACTTTTGAAACGACAGTTAATGCACTGAGAGCAGAATCATCGCGAGTGTGGAATTCCATCGAATTATACGACCTATACCATTAAAATGGCGGCGAAGGCATTAGCCGCCGAACTTTTTTGTCTCCAGTATCAAGCCAGTCAATATGGACATTGCCCTTGACTGCTACTTTGTTATCACAAAGTTGGACCACACTTTACAAGTCGCTCTCATCGGAAATGTTACAAATGCCATAAGCGATAGATTCACAAATCTCCATATTGCTCTTGGTGTTGTTTTCAACAGGAAAGGATTGATTGAACAATTTTATGAGTTTCTTACATCTTGCAGTTATGATGATGGTCTAAGGTTCAATGCATCATCATCAGCAGCAGCTGTAAGCATGACCACATTGAAGGACAGTCTTGTTCAGCTCGTCTCCGACAATTTTTATGCAGATATCCTCACAGAATGGGATACTTTCCACGCATTCTGTCACAATGCTACTAACATTTGTGGATAAGCATGGCACAGATGATGTCAACATACATCAACACAAGTAATTGGAATGTTCTTTGAGGATTCACATACACACGGAAGTTGACTGGTCATTCTTTGCAGCAAATACAGTTGTGATCTATACCGGAATGGCCTAATTCGATGCTTTACCCCAAGAACATAGGTATGTCTATTCACCATATAGTGATTAGTGCATTGTTCACTGAAATGACTTATTCTGATTCTTTACCACTAAAACATGGGGATAGTCAACAGAAAATGATTTCGATACCATTCATTGTTACTGAGAAATCGATAAAAACAAGATTTTCAGTAATGGCGGCCTTCATTTGCATATTATTCGGATTGCCCAGGGATGACAGAGTGGCACCATACAGATTTTGAAAGAGCACATATCAGAGATATAGAAACAGCAAAAAAACCTTTGTACGGACCGGGATGCACGCCTGATGGTATCTGCCACCTGAGTGAAACAGTGAAACAGTGACCTTTATGTGTCAGCTAAATCAACTTACTGATACATTACACGTACGAGGAAGGATATCCTACATATATCCATATAAGATCAACATGATTTCCATTTATTTACTTTCTAGCCTAAACTAGTGGGAATTTCCGTTTAGTCGAGCGGTAGAGTGTCTTGCTAGGTCACTAGATCGAACCTTACCAGGAGCAAGGTGTTTTTCATTACTCCTTTCTATTACACAGTAATAAGCATTGCACGCCACAACATTCAATCAATCTAGAGACCACTCTCTACTTATCCAGAAATAGTAAAAAATGCTAGAAAGGCGGTGTCATCATAGTCTGTACTTACATAGTACTTATATACAGGTAAATTGCTTACATGTACTGTTCTGATATACTACCTAGATACAGGTTAATTATTTACTAGTACTGTTCTAATATACTACCTAGATACAGGTAGATCATTTACCTGTATTGTTCTGATGTACTACCTAGATACAAATATATTTCTTACCTGTACTGTTCTGATATACTACCTATATACAGGTAGATTATTTACCTGTACTGTTCTGATATACTACCTAGATACAGGTAGATCATTTACCTGTACTGTTCTGATATACTACCTAGATACAGGTAGATCATTTACCTGTACTATTCTGATATACTACCTAGATACAAGTAGATTATTCGCCAGTACTTTTCATAACTTTAATTCATTCTGTTAAATTTCTTTATTCCGGAAGCCTTACAGCTTTCAAGATTCAACAATGCAAAGGGTATATTATATTGTTTGAGTGATATCTATTCATTCTGACATGCACTCTTTCGTACACCCTAGCCTGTGCGCACTCTTACACTCAGACAGACAGACACACATACACACACACACACTTGCACACTCTGATACATTACTAGTACACTTTCCTAATTTGATGCATTGGAAATCTTCCAAACTTTAATACACTAAATCATGGGTTTTTTTTTACCAACATCTGAGATATTTCTACAAACACACGATTGTACTTTTTCAATGTCTAAAGCTCTAAGAAAGCCCCAAACTTTACAAGCGCAGCCTAATATGCTAATACTATCGGTATCAAAAACTGAGCTTAAAATGTCCACGTTAAAGTGGTGACTTTTCGTTTTGTTTATCAGTCTGAAATAAGAGTTTTCTTCACTTTTCAGCTGCATTCCTCTGTGTTTTGTTAAATATTCTATTAGAATTGAAAAAAAAAACTACCCAAATTTCAATTTCGACATCAAACCATTTTTCATTGTCTTGTTATTTAAGTCAGATTGCTGGTTTATGGAGAATATGTGATATATTTTACCATCTGACCTTATATATTTAGAAAACATTCAGCTTTTTACAGAATATAAATACTCTCTCAATCTTAATTACTACAGTATCACAAAGTACGTTGTTTTCAAAAATCGTAGGAGTAAAACAAAAGATTTTCGAGTGATAAGTAAATAATACTCAAATGTGAATTTAACTTGCTTATTAAAACAATTCTAATATTTTTTCTCTAAAACTTAATCATTCCAACCATAAAAAAAATTATACCCTACAATATGATATACATATTTGTCGGTGTCACATTGCTATTTTCTATAGATCTACCTCATGAAAAAGGTTTGTATTTTGTCAAAACCAACTTAAAATTGAAGAAAATGGTAATGAAAGTTTATTTGAATATACTACATAAGACAGTATGATTCAGGTAATGTGGGAGAACATAAGTAAACAGATAGAAGAAGAACACAGGTAAAACACATGGGAGAACAACACAGGTAAACAGATGGGAGATCAATACACGTAAATCAGGCGGGAGAACAACACAGGTAATAAGTGGGAGAACAACACAGGTAAACAGATGGGAGATCAATAGACGTAAATCAGGCGGGAGAACAACACAGGTAATAAGTGGGAGAACAACACAGGTAAACAGATGGGAGATCGATACACGTAAATCAGGCGGGAGAACAACACAGGTAATAAAGGGAGATTAACACAGGTAAATCAGGCGGAGAACAACACAGGTAAACAGATGGGAGAACAACACAGGTAAAAGGTAAATCAGGCGGGAGAACAACACAGGTAATAAGTGGGAGAACAACACAGGTAAAACAGGCGGGAGAACAACACAGGTAAACAGATGGGAGATCAATACACGTAAATCAGGCGGGAGAACAACACAGGTAAAACAGGCGGGAGAACAACACAGGTAAACTCATGGGAGATTAATACACGTAAATCAGGCGGGAGAACAATACAGGTAAACAGATGGGAGAACAACACAGGTAATAAGTGGGAGAACAACACAGGTACACAGATGGAAGATCAATAGACGTAAATCAGGCGGGAGAACAACACAGGTTATAAGTGGGAGAACAACACAGGTAAATCAGGGAGAACAACACAGGTAATAAAGAACAACACAGGTAATACAGGGGAGTAAACAGATGGGAGATCGATACACGTAAATCAGGCGGGAGAACAACACAGGTAATAAGTGGGAAAACAACACAGGTAATAAGTGGGAGAACAACACAGGTAAATCAGGCGGGAGAACAACACAGGTAATAAGTGGGAGAACAACACAGGTAAAACAGGCGGGAGAACAACACAGGTAATAAGTGGGAGAACAACACAGGTAAACAACACAGGTAAAAGTGGGAGAACAACACAGGTAATAAGGCGGGAGAACAACACAGGTAATAAGTGGGAGAACAACACAGGTAACAACAACACAGGTAAACAGATGGGAGATCAATACACGTAAATCAGGCAACACAGGTAGAACAACAACACACAGGTAAACAGATGGGAGATCGATACACGTAAATCAGGCGGGAGAACAACACAGTTAATAAGTGGGAAAACAACATAGGTAATAAGTGGGAGAACAACACAGGTAAACAGATGGGAGATCAATACACGTAAATCAGGCGGGAGAACAACACAGGTAATAAGTGGGAAAACAACACAGGTAATAAATGGGAGAACAACACAGGTAATAAGTGGGAGAACAACACAGGTAATAAGTGGGAGAACAACACAGGTAAAACAGGCGGGAGAACAACACAGGTAAACAGATGGGAGATCAATACACGTAAATCAGGCGGGAGAACAACACAGGTAATAAGTGGGAGAACAACACAGGTAAACAGATGGGAGATCAATACACGTAAATCAGGCGGGAGAACAACACAGGTGAGAAAACAACACAGGTAAAAGAACAACACAGGTAAAGAACAACACAGGTAATAAGTGGGAGAACAACACAGGTAAATCAGGCGGGAGAACAACACAGGTAATAAGTGGGAGAACAACACAGGTAAACAGATGGGAGATCAATACACGTAAATCAGGCGGGAGAACAACACAGGTAATAAGTGGGAGAACAACACAGGTAAAACAGGCGGGAGAACAACACAGGTAAACAGATGGGGGATCAATACACGTAAATCAGGCGGGAGAACAACACAGGTAATAAGTGGGAGAACAACACAGGTAAACAGATGGGAGATCAATACACGTAAATCACAACACAGGTAAATCAACACAGGTAAAAGATGGGAGAACAACACAGGTAAACAGAGAACAACACAGGAAATAAGTAATAAGGGGTAGAACAACACAGGTAAAACAGGCGGGAGAACAACACAGGTAAACAGATGGGGGATCAATACACGTAAATCAGGCGGGAGAACAACACAGGTAATAAGTGGGAGAACAACACAGGTAATAAGTGGGAGAACAACACAGGTAAACAGATGGGAGATCAATAGACGTAAATCAGGCGGGAGAACAACACAGGTAATAAGTGGGAGAACAACACAGGTAATAAGTGGGAGAACAACACAGGTAAAACAGGCGGGAGAACAACACAGGTAATAAATGGGAGAACAACACAGGTAATAAGTGGGAGAACAACACAGGTAAAACAGGCGGGAGAACAACACAGGTAATAAGTGGGAGAACAACACAGGTAAAACAGGCGGGAGAACAACACAGGTAAACAGATGGGAGATCAATACATGTAAAACAGGTAGGAGAACAACGCAGGTAAAACAGGCGAGAAAACAACACATGTAAACAGGTAGGAGAACAACACGGGTAAAACAGACGGAAGAGTATTGGACGAAATAACAAATGCGCTATTCTCTCAAGGTTGATATAGAATTAGAAATGTTTTTAGAAATAAGTGTGTGATAGAGTTTATTAATTTTCTATATACACATGTAGTTTCTGTGATACGGACATCCGTGGCATTATCCACCATGTATGTGTGTCATGTCGCTCATTATATACCGTAAAACTTAATTTTCTGTCTAATGTTCTCCTAGACTATGGTCCCATAGTTTACAACAATTTCCTTGAAATGGAAGATTTTCTGTGCTTTATTTGGTGCCGAATCTTTCACACCTGACCTGCCTGACCAAGCCTACAAAATAAACTCAGGATGGTGTGTGCTGCCTTCATCAGAATGGATCTTTATTAATTTTTCACCAAAATCAGAACTGACACTGCCCTGTTTATTTGATTAATTACAAGTATAATGTTATGAAAAAGTCGGATGTCAAGCCAAAAACGTAATTTCCATTACTTGCTAGTATTGTCCAGCGGCCCAAAAGAACTTTGCTAAATCTTATTATGTAAATATCTATATTGTTATCAAAATATTTCTATTGCATTTGTATATCCACATCGAGGGAAATAAAAAAGATAGGTTGATTGTTATTTGTTTGTTAGAACATTAATTGATGTATATCTTTGTTAGAATAAATTGTTTATCAATCGTTTGACTACCTCACATTTGCCATATTTAAAAATGATTTTCAAACCATAGACGAAGAAAGGTGACAGTTTCCAAAGATAGCCATAATCATTTGAGTAAGATCATCTAGAAAAGGTCTCGAATTTTAGCAGCATTGAGGATATATTCATTAGTTATATCACCTCTATCATTTTTTAAATTGATTTTCAGCCTTTGAAGTCAAAACGAAATATGTTGATATCGAAAAGGAAAGAGACGAAGCCAGAAGTCATTGTCAAGGTAATTTCTACCAAGGTGATCTCGCGCGACTGGAAGATATTACAAATTCCAGACAAGGAAGTATCCGAGTGTGGGACGGTAACGTGTACAAGCTCTCTCCGCCCATTACAATAAAAGGTAAGATTATCAAACTATTTTATTTTGTCTATGTATGATCAGTCTATGCCCTTCAAGCAGTATACGGTTTTAAAGATATTATAGCAGAAGAAACAGTTTACCAGGTGTGGAAACATGTGTGGACTAAGTCATGTGTCATGCTGCATTGCAATTAAAACGTTGGGTTTTTTTTAATCGGTGATATATCCATGGTACATGTGGTCATGTTTGGTTTGTAATGGGGAAATTCATATCTTTGGAAGGCTGTACAGTAATTACCATGTTTCCTTTCAGGAATGTATGTCGTCATTGTCTTAGCGTACACATCTTTCTGGTAGGAAATTGGGTATTATTTATTGTAAGTAATTATGTGTTCTGATTTTTAAAAGGTTGCACCAATGATACGGGCCTTACTAAGCACAAAATTCCTAGAATGAAACTCTGGAAAGATGCAGCTGCTCAGTGTCAGGCTTTGTGTAATACAAGCACGTTTGCAATCAGGGTATGTACGATAAACAAACATAAATAAATAAAAATGCAGATCTTGAAAACCCCTTTCTTGAAGTAAGAAATGAGATACTTGAACAACACAGTCAATCACTGTTGTACAAAACTATGGAACAATGTATTGAGTATTTGATGCATTGTTATATAGACATTTTAATCTTTTCTCGAAATGTATACCCTATGCTTAATACAAATATTAAAATGATAGTATTGATTGCCCTACCTGCTGTATTTTCGACGGGAAGTCCAGCGGAAAGTGGAAAGACTACAACAGATAATCTAATCCATCAATTATAAAGAGTAAGCGAAATGCCTTAAAGAGCGTGAACAATAAAGAGAGATACACGAAACAACCTGTCATCGACAGGAAAGAAAGATATACAGACCTTAGCCATGCTATCAATGTTTAACAATCTACCTGTTTCATCTACACAGAAAGACAGACATACCTAAGCCATGCTATCAATGTTTAACAATCTACCTGTTTCATCTACACAGAAAGACAGACAGACCTTAGCCATGCTATCAATGTTAAACAACCTACCTGTTTCATCTACACAGAATGACAGACACCTTAGCCATGCTATCAATGTTAAACAACCTGGCATCTACAAAGAAAGACAGACCGACCTAAGCAATGCTATCAATGTTTAATAACCTACATGTTTCATCTACACAGAATGACAGACAGACCTTAGCCATGCTATCAATGTTAAACAACCTACCTGTTTCATCTACACAGAATGACAGACAGACCTAAGCCATGCTATCAATGTTAAACAACCTACATGTTTCATCTACAAAGAAAGACAGACACCTTAGCCATGCTATCAATGCTTTACAACCTGGCATCTACAAAGAAAGACAGACAGACCTAAGCCATGCTATCAATGTTAAACAACCTACATGTTTCATCTACAAAGAAAGACAGACAGGCCTAAGCCATGCTATCAACGTTAAACAACCTACCTGTTTCATCTACACAGAAAGACAGACACATTAGCCATGCTATCAATGTTAAATAACCTGTTATCTACAAAGAAAGACAGACAGACCTTAGCCATGCTATCAACGTTTAGCAATGAGAATTGTTTATATGATGGCTTGGTGTTTGTTGTAATCACATATTCTAGAACTTGCCATCACGTTCATGCAGATGAACGGCAACTGTGACCCACAGTCATATATCAGTATCACGACAAATCAAACAGTCTCATTATTATTTTATTTTATGTTTACTGTATAATTGGCATTGAAAATGTCGTCATTAATCTCCATGCTAAAAAAAACTAGAACCACGGATAACAAGAGTGTGATATCGTTGTTACTCATCTTGTTGTTATTTCTTTAAAAACAACTACATTCTGTGTATGTATTTTTTTTAGTAGTGTGGGATCAGTTATTTCTTAGGATTGGCCAATTTCTGAAACAAAGGGTTACGTGTGCTGACAAGTTCAAGTCAAGATACCATGGGTACAACTGCTGGTTGAATATTTTGTGTGCCTATAGTGTATATATTCCTAAAATTAATTTAATTTGTACATACTCATCATGTCTATACATATTTGTAGTCATTCCGTTGACATATTGTCATTACAACAGCTGTGGTTTACTTGACTTGAATTGTCCTAGATATATGCCATAGTCAACTTTATTGACCAGATATTATATATATTATACTATTATGCTGATTGTCTTAAATCAAGTCATATAATTAGTTCATATTTATCTTAATTGATTTATATATATATATATTCTTATTTAAATCAGGATACAGATTGCCACTGTTTGAGTGATTCCATCACACCGGCAGATGATAGTCACTGTCTTCCTATGTTGGCGAGGACACCGGCTCAAAACTCTAAAAATACAGAGGCAAAGACAGTATTTCAAACAGGTATGGTTATATACAAATAATGGAAGCTGTAAACTATATAAAACACAACCGTGCGGACATTCCACAGACAATGTAAACGGTAAAATAGCTCAAGAGTAAACTTCTCATAACAGTCAAATCATAGACCCAAAGACAGGATTTTTTACGTGGGATTGATGAAATATATCTATGGTAGATATCATATAATTGTGAAAACACAGACGCCAAGGCGGGGTTTTATCCGGAATTACCAAAATATATCTACAGTAAATATAACATACAAAAAGGATAAAGAAACGCAGGGTGAACTTTAAACCAGAAATTAAGTATGATATCGGGCTTCATTTAAAACGAAATTTTGTATACTTACAGATAAATTAAAGCTTAAAAATGTCCAAAGTCTTTATTTTTGCATCTGACAATTGGTTTAGAGGTACTAACGATTAAATTGAATGGACCCATAGGACTTTGAAATTGAAATTGAACTGAGTCATCAATATCTTGTGTGTCCACCGTTTGCTGTGGTCACAGACCCTATTCTTCTGGTCATAGAGTTCATGAGAGCGTTAATCCGTCTTATGGGGATGTTGTCCCACTCTTCAATCAGAGCTCTGGTCAACTGCTCTCGAGTAGCAGGGGGTGGCTGGTGCTTTCGAACCTGTCTATCCAACTGGTCCCAAAGATGCTCGATCGGGGACCAATCAGGGCTATATGGCGGCCAATCTAGTGGTTGAATGTTGTTGTTGGCCAGAAAGACTTGGCAAATCATTGCTACGTGGGGCCTAGCATTATCCTGCTGAAGGGTTAGATTATGCTGCTGTAAGAAAGGGATAACATGGGGTCGGAGGATCTCATCTCTATACTTAGCTGCTGTGAAATTGCCATCAATAACAACCAATTGTGATTTTAACCCGTGTGAGATTCCTCCCCACACCATTACTGAACCGCCCCCAAACCTATCCCTCTCTACAACGCAAGCGTCCGTAAAACGTTCGCCACAACGTCGGTAGACTCGTTGACGGCCGTCAGATCGATAAAGACAGAATCGAGACTCGTCCGTGAAGAAAACTTGTCTCCACTGGAAACCGTCGTGGAGCATGTGCAGCTACCCAGGCCATACGACGCTGACGTCGAGCAGGAGTAAGGTGTGGACCTACATAGGGGCGACGTACTCTTACACCAACCTCTCGCCCATGATTTCCACGAACATTAAGTGCACTCTCAACGGCAGTAAGGCGCCGATTACGCACATGAGAGACGACGATATAGCGATCCTGACGTCGTGACGTTACGCGCGGACGTCCTGACCTAAGTCGATCGGCCAATCGCCCAGTTTCTCGAAGACGTCTTACAAGACGTTCTATGGTGGAAACATTAACACCAAAGTGCCTAGCAACCTGATTTTGCAGCTCTCCTTGCATCAGCATCTGAATGGCCTGACCCCTCTGAACTTCTGTGAGTCGTCCCATTCTTAAAACGAATCAAATTCTCAATTAATTTTAGGGAAGCAGTTGATCTGAATAAAGATTAACGAAGAGTGACTTGACCAACGCTGCATGAGACCAGAACAACACGGTGCACGAGATTCTTGTTTTTTCCTTCCTCCATTTACCAGAGCTGCGCACTGTACCGTGACTAAATTTTCGATACATGACAAGGTGTAATATGACTTAATTACTCAATCCACAAAGTTTCACTTTATTTGGAGAACGCGTTTTCAAAATATCGGAATAAATATTACCCTGCGTTTCTTTATCCTTTCAGTATATAACTGTAAAACACAGACGTCAAGACGGAGGTTTAACCGGGTTTGTTAAAATATATCTACAGTAGATATAACTGTAAAACACAGACGTCAAGACGGAGGTTTAACCGGGTTTGTTAAAATATATCTACAGTAAATATAACTTTAAAACAGACATCAAGACGGAGGTTTATATCTACAGTAAATATAACTGTAAAACAGACATCAAGACGGAGGCTTATATCTACAGTAAATATAACTGTAAAACAGACATCAAGACGGAGGTTTAACCGGATTTGTTAAAATATTTCTATAGTAGATATCATTTAACTGTGAAAACACAGACGCAAAGACAGGATTTCTAGTTGGGATTGATCGAATATCTCTATAGTATATATCATACTGTATTCAAAATACGCCAACTCGAAAAGTAAACACCATAGATATGGGAAGTTCTTTTTAATGTATTCAATGTTCTTAAAGATCTAACTGTCTATTCAGTTACTCTGGAGATTAGCGACGTTCCTGCTTTGAACAAGTGCATTGCTGCAAACGGGTTGAATCCCTGCAACTTCGAGTTAAGAAATTGTCAGGATAGATTACAGATGGAATGTAAACGTAAGTATTAAATTCAATTCAATTCAGACTTTCCCAGCACTGTCATAATTGTTCACATTTTCACGTCATCTGACACGAATTCAGAAATTTTATTCCACCTCTAGGGAGCGGGCCCCGAAAGGGGAAATTAGATAATATTTTTCTTTTTAAAGCCTGTGTAGTTTTCTGAACTTCAGAAAGTTGATTCGACACCTAAGGACCCGCGGGCGGGCCCCAAGCGGGAAAGTTAGTCAATATTTTGCTTCAAAACACCACTCCTTCTTAATGCCTGGGTAGATTTCTACCAAATTTGGCCCGAAACATTATCAGGGGGTTGCATTCATATCAAACATGCATGAAGTCAACCTGAGATTGTCTCATATTTTAGCATAACTCACCTAGAACACCTAGTCTGAACTACTTCTCATGCTTCATTCACACCAGTGAGAAACATATTTGGAGTTTGATTTTAAGGTAAAGAAAGACATGGTTTATTGTTATTTTGCAGTCTGATCAAAACTTCAACATGGTAGCCACAGTAGCCCTTTTGTAACATGATTGCGCAAATGTTTTTCATGAACACAACCTACCATTGAAAAAATTCTGATCCTTAAAAGGAATGTTCAAGATTCGAATTCATCAGATTTGTCAGACCACATTCAGCGAATTCCGTGGTTCGTCCATCAACTCGTCGATTGCCATATGACCGTTAAAGGGATATTCCGTCCAAGGTCTTTCCTTTCTCCAATCGTTTTTATTGTATCTCTTATGACTATTCAAATTATTGTAAGCGTTAAAATATCCTTCCTGTGGTCATGTCGGACAGACGCAATTGGTGGAAACACTCGTAGACCAGTATAGAATTCCAATGTAGCGCGTTTATCACATGACCATTTTGAATAGCGAGGCTGTAAAGATATAACAGAAATAATACAAAATTTAAAATGATAATATGAAACAAAAATAGCGAGGGAAAGACATTATTTAAATCAGGTATTAACTGATATTATTTATCTAATATAACAACGATCGTTATTTAAATCTGGTATAAACAGCCGTTATTTAAATCTGGTATAAACAGCCGTTATTTAAATCTGGTATAAACAGCCGTTATTTAAATCTGGTATAAACAGCCGTTATTTAAATCGGGTATAAACAGACATTATTTAAATCTGGTATAAACAGCCGTTATTTAAATCTGGTATAAACAGCCGTTATTTAAATCGGGTATAAACAGACATTATTTAAATCTGGTATAAACAGCCGTTATTTAAATCTGGTATAAACAGCCGTTATTTAAATCGGGTATAAACAGACATTATTTAAATCTGGTATAAACAGCCGTTATTTAAATCTGGTATAAACAGCCGTTATTTAAATCGGGTATAAACAGACATTATTTAAATCTGGTATAAACAGCCGTTATTTAAATCTGGTATAAACAGCCGTTATTTAAATCTGGTATAAACAGCCGTTATTTAAATCTGATATAAACAGCCGTTATTTAAATCTGGTATAAACAGCCGTTATTTAAATCGGGTATAAACAGCCGTTATTTAAATCGGGTATAAACAGACATTATCTTAAACAAGTTTTAACAGACACCTTTTGAATCAGGTATAAACAGACATTATTTAAATATGGTATAAACAGCCGTTATTTAAATCTGGTATAAACAGCCAACATTTAAATCTGGTATGAACAGCGATTTTCTAAATCTGGTATCAACGGCCGTTATTTAAATCGGGTATAAACAGCCGTTATTTAAATCGGGTATAAACAGACATTATCTTAAACAAGTTTTAACAGCCACCATTTTAATCAGGTATAAACATACATTACTTTAATCTGTTATAAACAGACACCTTTTGAATCAGGTATAAACATACATTATTTAAATATGGTATAAACAGACAACATTTAAATCGGGTATGAACAGCGATTATTTAAATCTGGTATGAACAGCGATTATCTGAATCTGGTATAAATAGTCGTTATTTTAATCTGGTATGAACAGCGATTATTTCAATCTGGTATAAACAGCCGTTATTTAAATCTGGTATGAACAGCCGTTATTTAAATCTGGTATAAACAGTCACTATTTGAATTTGGTATGAACAGCGATTATTTAAATCTGGTATAAACAGCCACTATTTGAATTTGGTATAAACAGCCGTTATTTTAATCAGGTATCAACAGACATTATTTAAATATAGAATAAATAACCAACATTTAAATCTGGTATAAACAGCCAATATTTAAATCTGGTATGAACAGCGATTATCTAAATCTGGTATAAACAGCCGTTATTTAAATCTGGTATAAACAGTCACTATTTGAATTTGGTATGAACAGCGATTATCTAAATCTGGTATCAACGGCCGTTATTTAAATCGGGTATAAACAGCCGTTATTTAAATTTGGTATTATCTTAAACAAGTTTTAACAGCCATTTTAATCAGGTATAAACATACATTACTTTAATCTGTTATAAACAGACACCTTTTGAATCAGGTATAAACATACATTATTTAAATATGGTATAAACAGCCATTTAAATCGTTATTTAAATCTGTTATAAACATCCACCATTTAAATCTAATATAAAAAGAATTTATTTAAATCTGGTATAATCAGCCACCATTTAAATCTGGTGTAAACAGCCGTTATTTAAATCTGGTATAAACAGTCACTATTTGAATTTGGTATTTATTTAATCTGGTATAAACAGAATTTGGTATAAACAGCCATTTTAATCATATAATTATTTAAATATAGAATAAATAACAGCCGTTATTTAAATCTGGTATAAACAGCCGTTATTTAAATCTGGTATAAACAGTCCAGCGATTATCTAAATCTGGTATCAACGGCCGTTATTTAAATCGGGTATAAACAGCCGTTATTTAAATCTGTTATAAACATACACCATTTGTATCTGGTAAAAACAGACAATATTTAAATCTGGTGTAAACAGCCGTTATTTCAATCTGGTATAAACAGCCACCATTTAAATCTAATATAAACAGCCGTTATTTAAATCTGGTATAAACAGCCGTTATTTAAATCTGGTATAAACAGCCGTTATCTAAATCGGGTATAAACAGCTGCAGTTTAAATCGGGTATAAACATCCACCATTTGTTTCTGGTATGAACAGCCACCATTTATATCTGGTATAAACAGATATTATTTAAATCTGGTATAAACAGATATTATTTAAATCTGGTGTAAACAGCGACCATTTCAATCTGGTATAAACAGACATTTTTAAATTATGGCATTAACAATTATCATTCAAATCAGGTATAACCAGACATTATTTAATCCATGTATAACGAGCAATCATTTCAATTTCGTATTAGCAGTTATCGTCTATATTAGGTTAAAAACTGCAATAATTTAATCGCGTATAAACATTCATTTTATTCTGAAATAAACATCCATCATTTGACGATCAACATCGACTGAATGATTCCTAATGTAAGAAAAATATTTCCAGTGAAAATGTGTCAAATGCTAATTGGAGTGACGGACTTTGTGGATTGAGAGTAACAACGAAATCAAGGAAAATATAACAAACTTATCGATAACAGACTTGACAACAACATCAGAACTGTAGAAGGCCTTGGGTATTGTCACTGTTTTCGTCAGGTTTGAACTTTGGAGTTTTCAGGTGTATTTCTGTCACAGGCGACTATATGTTGATGATGTTGGAAAAAAGTTCATAGGGCGTGGCTTATATTTTTCATAGAGGTATAGAAAAATAGAAATAAGTATGAGCATTTGGTTTGAAAATAAGACATGTTAATTTATTTATTATCTCTATGTTTGAAGTTGGGACAAGTGCACGCACTGTATGGGCGGAGGCGGCGTATGGTTGTAATAGTGCTAAAAGTTTCCCAAGCCCTGTCCGCGACAACTGCCCGCCTGACTCGTCTGTTTGGTTTGGAGGATTTCGTGACTTACAATATAGTCCAGGTAATATGTAGACATAACTAGATCGTAATTCAATAAAGCATTTGTTTTCATTAACATTTTTGGCTGATTAGGGTTGAAACCAATTCCATACAGAGTGTCAAAACTTTAAAGGTGCGGCTTGTAGGAGATTTAGCCTATACACATCAGTGAGATCTCTGGTGAACTTGTTCAGTGTGAATTTGTTCTTCGTTGTATGTTTCGTGAACTCCGTTGCATAAAGCTATTATCAGAGAGAACCAGTAGAGTTGATTTAAACAAAAAGCAAATGTTTACAGCATCTAGCAGATCAGGCCCCAAATTCAATAACTTTCCTTAACTTGTGGAAAACTTCACTTCTATAGAAATACATACGTAAGTTAGGGAAAAACTTAAGATTAAGAAAAAATCCTTAACTTATGTAATGCTAACCTATGGGCAAATTTAAGTTAAGAAATATTCATGGAACTGGGGCCAGCCTCTCAAACGTTTTCTTGGACGGTAATCTGAAAAACGTTATCAACATTTCAAAAACATTGAAACCAGGCCAATATATTTTTATGAATAAGCGTATTGCTAAAATGGTCCCTGTTGGTAGTCCTAAGGGTTCATCGACATTTGATGCGATCAAGCAGATTGATGGTATTGTTTCGTCATCATTATTTACAGTACATAATCCGGATTAATATTCTACATGAATATTGCATGCTCGTGGTTTTTGGTCATCAGTCTTGAAATATGTTTTAAAGAAATATTTATAAAATGTATGTCAATTTCACTTTTCTGTTAACATTATACGACATTATCTAGTGCCCAGTCCATTCAAACATTAATGTTATCTAGTGTCTAGTCCGTTCAAACGTTAATGTTATCTTGTGTCCAGTCCATTCAAACATTAATGTTATCTTGTGTCCAGACCATTCAAACGTTAATGTTATCTAGTGTCCAGTCTATCAAACATTTATGTTATCTAGTGTCTAGTCCATTCAAACATTAATGTTATCTAGTGTCCAGTCTATCAAACATTAATGTTATCTAGTGTCTAGTCCGTTAAAACATTAATGTTATCTAGTGTCCAGTCTATCAAACATTAATGTTATCTAGTGTCTAGTCCGTTAAAACATTAATGTTATCTAGTGTCCATTAATGTTATCTAGTGTCCAGTCTATCAAACATTTATGTTATCTAGTGATCCCCTGATGGATAATGTGTTTGTACTTCGATCTCTGATGTTTTGAATTGATACATGGATTTCCAGAGCATCTTTTGTCACCATTTTTGTTTGGTAAGTGCCGAAGTCGCCTATGATAAGACAATTTGAGTTTATAACACGTGACATTATGTGCATCGCTTAAAAAAAGAGAAAAAAACAATTTGTATTATGTTACAACTGTGTTCACGATATCACTGCGTGGGATACGTATGCAATGCGAAATAGTAAATGCAGAGGCAGTTTTGGCACCATGGCTGACAATATTGAGCCTAGTATGACATCGACACAAATAGATAGAAGCATTTTCGAACAACTGAGAGAGTCAATTGGATCGTTTGACAGAGAAAAATTTAAGAAACGCTTAGACTCCATATACTCGGGTAACATTGAAAGTCTCATCCATGTTCGTCAAGCACTATATGATTTGGCACTCGTGAGAATACCTGATACGCCTCAAGGGGAATTAGCCAGGCGCAGAAATGTCGGAAACTCACTAGCGTTGAACAAATATATAGATGATATTTACACACTGTTCCAGTACATTGACGGAGGAACCAGTAGAAGTGAGATAAGATATTTATTGAAATCAAAAGATATAGGAAACTCGACCTTCGACTCGCGTACGTCAAAAGACTGTGCAGACACATCGCTTCCACACAGTGATCAGACCTCGGTAAAACGGGTAGTCTCAATAGGATCACCCGTGCATAACGATATGACAGCTACTGTAAATGAAAGCTCTAGTACTCTGTCAAGTATTAAAGACAATGTAAGCAATCAAACTCTTGCTGACCTGTTTATACTGATTGTAGGAATGAGAAACGAAATGGCTGAACAAATTAATGAAATTAACATTGTGTTGCGAGAAGACATTAGAGAGCTTAAAAACGAATTACGCGAAATGGGAGCTGAAAAGGAGAGAAAAGAGCAACAATTATCAGCGCTTATGATAGACATGAGCCACTAGCGAGCAGAACTGAGTGTCAAAGAAAACGTAATATCAAATTTGAAATCTCAGAAGTGTGAATCTTCGTTGATAAGGCAAGATAATATCGTCGCGGTCAATGACGAAAAAATCAAAGTATCAGAAGTACTGCACGATAACAGGTGCAACGACGATGTTGTCGATTTAACAAATAACAAAGCAGAAACAACTACCAAGGCCTCTTCTTATCAAAATTCTCCTACCAACCAAGGGTTTGAGAGTTCTACGTCACCCGCTTATGCAGAGGTCCTTCAGAGGACAAATACGGAGACACATACAGATGAGCCAAAAGTTTTGTCTGTTTCGCTCAATAGTTGTGCTAATGGTAGCTCGGATCGTTCACATCGAAACGTTACATTCTTCGGGTACAATACAAAGCGGCAGCTTGGCCTGTCTGAGGAAAATTCATCCTCATACAAATTTCGCGGAGTAAAGCGTAGGCCGCGAACACGACAACTTCTTATGTCTAGAATTATTGCTGATGCCTCGGAGGATGATGTAATTGACTCGATTGTTACATATGCAGCAGATGCCGGTGTAAAGGTAACATATATGAAAATAATCAAATACTGGTCAGGTAAAGAACCGACGTATACAGCCCGACTTAACGTTCGAGAGCAAGTTTTCGAGCTTGTGTGTTGTGTAACTCTGAGCACGAAACAATCAGTCATCTGCTGTGGGAATGTCAGGAAGTACAAAGACTATTACAGAGTCTTGATATTTTGTTAGAAGCTCTATTTATCCCTTTCTCAGTAAACAAGCAAACTTTCATTCTTGGTCTCCTACATCAAAACTTCCTTCCGAGTAACAGAGTAGACAATGAGATTATAATTATTATCAAACAGTATATTTATAAAATGAGATGCTTACACCGTTCACTAAACTTGCATGCACTAATTAATACAATCAAAGATAATTATATGATACAAAAATATATAGCTAATGGTAAGGATGATAAAGTAAAACGTAAATTTGAGAATGAATGGAAAAAATGGGAAAATTAATACAGTTTTGATCTACACACTTTGATCTATTACCCATCGCATTACTAGTTTTTCTTTTTTTTCTTTTTTTTTTCTATAATTTTTTATAATTATATACATAACAGTCCTTGACCATACCGAGTAATCAGATATAAAGAAAGAAAAACATTAATAGATTAAATTACTCTAACCTATTTTACCATCTCACCCAACAATCCACTTTACTATTTCTTCATTTTCTTCAATTTCTTTCTCTTTAAATTTCTTATCCCTAATAAAGTTCTATTTCATTTCCTCATTTCTGTATGTTGATGTCAATTTATGGTTGTGTGTGTGTTTATGCATGTGTGCATGGGTGCATTTCAAACAAAAGTTTACTGTGATATTTATGAATCAGAAGGTTCCATAATGGTTATGAAAGTATGAATCTTGATTTGATGATGATAATGAATTGTTGAATGTGGATGATGATGATGCATTATTTAGTATGTACGATAATCATGATAGTAATATTGATTGTGATATATATGTTGAAATGGATGATGAGGAAGATTATCATGTTTTTGATGGATGATGATGATGATGATGATGATGATGATGATCATTTAGTGTGTAACATAATAATATTGATTGTGATATATGAGGATTATCATGTATGGTGATAATAATAATAATAATAGTAGTAATGATCACATGCATTTTTGAATGTTGATGATGATGTTGATGATTCTTTTGAATGGAATGTACTTGTTTGACACGCAATGACTATATGTGCACCTGTGGTTGGATGTGTGAGAGGGTGTGAGTGTATTTGTCCTGTTCAACGTGTAAAATCTTGAAAAATAAAAAATTATAAAAAAAAAAAAGTTTTCGAGCAGGCGATTAGTCCTCATTTTTGGCCAGAAAATGTGCTCGTGCGCGAATGGGAACATCGTGATCGCTTCGCTGGTAAACTGTGTTCTAATAACCAATCCTCATGACATTCACAATGCTAAATAGATACCAAGCGTTTATACTATGTATCATGATTTCATTGCTTAACTGGAACATGCGGGGTATTATGTATGGAACTCCCATGCTATCTAAGCTGTTAAATGACATGGACATTGCGTTGATAACGGAACACTGGCTTCTTCCAGAGCAGATGAATTTCTTGAATACCATTGATAACAATTTCAAAGCATATGGAGTTTGTGATGCACGAATAGCGTTAGAGCCTGAAAACAGAAAGTGTAATCGTGGATTCGCTGGAATTGCATTTATATGGCGAAAAGATATGGCTGTTTCACCTATTCTAAATGAAGGGAATGACAGGGTTGTATGCTGTTCAGTTCAACTTCGCGGCAATTCACACATGTTTATAATAGGGGCTCTTATGCCTTCTACGAATGTTTCTAAAAAGGTATATGTAGACACTCTCAGGTGTGTATCGGACCTCTATGATCGGTTCTCCCAACAAGGGCATGTGATTCTAATGGGTGATTTTAATGCGCAGATAAACAAATCTTTTGGAATAAAAAATCACCAAAAATCAAACGAGAGAGGTAAAATATTACAAACATTCATCAATGAGCGTCATCTGATCTCCGCTAACTCTCAAGTATGGACAAAGGGCATGTCAGTAAGTTATGTTTCCAAAGCCGGGCAAGGTTCACTCATCGATCATGTCTTCATCGAAAATAGCAAAATTGATTGTGTATGTGATTGCACTATTCTCGACGATCATTACTTAAATGTTTCGGATCATCTTCCTATACGTCTACGTTACGAACTTCCTGTTTGTTTAAGCAAGCACGTGTGTAGTGTAAATTCTGTCAACTGGAAAAAATGCACGGCCAAGCAAAAGTTAGAATA